CCAACATTTAAATTATATATATGTCGTAATTTTTAAAGGGATCATGACTATCCGGGATCTTCACGGGATTTAAAGGGATAACTAAAAATTTTGGGTTGATAATTAAGGAATGATAATACGGGATTATCACGTTTTAATCGTGATAAAGAGGAATCTTATTTTAAAAGCGTTTTCCACGAGTTTCGTTGCGTTTTTAATTTTCAATTTTGTTTTTTTTTGGCCTTATGATATAAGATATGTCTAGTATAGGGTATCATTCGATAGCTAATCAAAAGATTTATTCAACTGGAGGTCAATCTCTGCCCCAGTAATAATACCGTATAGTTCTTTATACCTTTAAATCCCGCGAAAATCCCGAGTCATGATCCCTTTAAAAATTACGACATATATATATAAATTTTAAAGGCTCAAAAAATTCAAATTTCTATTTTGGGTCATTTAAGTGATTCATATAGTGGTTATATTCCCTTTATATTTTATAATTCACATTTATTTTATAGTTTTTTATATGACGGTTTATAAATATAATTTTTTTATAATTCACGTTAATTTAAAATTGTGTATTAGAAATAGTTATTAGTTCTAATAAATTTATGCTTGTAGAAAACAATAATATTTCTTAAAAAATTTTATTATCCCCCCCTCCCAGATCAAATTCCTGCGTACGCGCCTGCCTCCTAGAAATATCTAATTTTATTTTTACCTTATATTTTATGCCAATTTTTACACTATTTATTCAAAACGAATCGAATAATTTACTATAATTATTCGCACGAATAATAAAGTTTACTATTTGAATTCGATTCGAGTAATTCATTTTTTAAAAATATATTTAAATATTCAAATAATTAGATTCGAATATAACTAATTAGTCGAATAAATAAATTTTTCTCATATATCATCGAATGTTCATATAATTCAAATTATTTGTCTTATTCGAATCGATTAATTATTTATTCATATTCGAACAAAATGTATTTTCGTATTCGTTTGTTTTTGATACTAATTAGTAAATTAAGACTATCTAAAAGATTATCATTTATATTTTTATGGTGGTTTTAATATAAATTTGAGCGTAGAATTTTTTTTTTAAACTTTCTTTATTATATAATTATTTAATAAATTAAATATTTAATATTGTTTTTCTAAAGTTGTTCCTGGAACGTTCACTGGATCATCGCCCCGTTCTCTTCAAGTTTTATAATTTTACCCAAGTTCCCTTTCGTCATGCCCCTCATTTTTTTAAAAATTAATTTTCGTTTCTAAGATTTTGCTGTTTTTTTTTAAATTCGTTCCTTCAGTAATGATTAGGTTAGGGTTGCTGAACGGCCAGATTTGCGTCGATTTTTAAAAAATGGCCGATTAAGATTATTTTACCATAATAATATTATGTAGGCCTGGAGATTTTGCCCATAGATGGCAGAAAAGCCTATATCTGGCTTACATAATATTATTTTGAATAAAATCTTAATCAGATTGGTATATGTTAGGGTGCCAGCCCTGGCCTTTTTAAAAAAAAAAGAAATAAGAGAAAATCAAAATAGTAACAAAATTGTTATTTTACAGTAATTTTTCTATTGCAATGCTAGTTTAAAAAAAAATATAATTAAAAAACGTTTTCGAATAGTTTTTTTAACGAAATTAGCAGATATACTTAATATTTTAATTTTGGTTTCTTTGAAATATTTAAATCACAATTCACAAAATAACAATAACTATTTTTTATTTAAATTGATTTTGAATATATGCATTTTAAAATATAAATATAATCAATCCATTTTATTTTATTTTAAAAATAAATTCTTATATTAATTAAATATTATAAAAGCTTAAGGATTCCTTGAATCAAGGGGAAAATCTTTAAAAAAAGGAAAGAAAAAAAGGGGATAAAATCCTTGTGAAATTTTTTTTATATAGAAAAAATACATATCAGTTTAAAGTGTTAACAAAAAAAACTTTCGCAATATAGATTGTTGATGCATTTAAAAATATACTTCCTTAGTGAGTGGTCTTATCGTGATAGTTATTAGTTGTTGTTTTTATTAAAACCCTAATGAAGAGTTATAAATGATTTAAAAAAATAAAATATGAATAGATAATTATTAAGGATTAATATATTACCCAGAGAACCCGTAGGTCCAGTCCGAAACGAACGAAAAGTGGATATGTTTTATATTTTATAGAAAAATTAATTTCAATTATTTCAATTTATCCGTTGGGAAAATCTGGAGTTTTCTTTTTATTCATTTACTGCTCTTGTTTTTTAATTTATCTTAAAAATAATTTGCTAATGAATCGCCAAAATTGTTGAAAATAATGAAATTTTAAATATTTAGAGCAGGGATCGTTAAATCAAAATTAAAAATTCTGGCCGCGTCAGAAAATTTCCAAAATAAAATCTTTGGCCAGTTTTGAAAAGGAATTCTTTTCTTCTAAATATTGATCGGGCATAAAATTTTCACCCTTTCAGTTTGTAGTCTCTAACTGATTAACTGATAAGTGTATTTTTGTATACTAATTTTTTTTTTAATTTTCGGGAAATTTTTGTCTTGGCGATTTTTATTCGGGAATTCCTGTCAGAGTACTCAAATAGAGGAGCCTGCAGAAGTCCATTTACTTTAGATCATGCCTAGTTTAAGCCTAGATCTATTATGGTTTTTTAAAATGGAGTTGCCTGATAAAAAATTATAATAAAGAATAGTCACAATAGATAACATGATATAGCCTTGAAGGCTTGAACAGTTCAGTCTACGTCCCATAGAGGTTAGTCATGCTAGAATCTTTACATTTGTGGGGCTGAAATATCTAACATCCTGGCGAAAGGCCTATTGCAATTCATAATTACAAAATTAAATTAAAATTTTCATAATATTTTTTTAAAAAATTCATTCCAGTTAATAAAATAATAATTGTAATGTTAGTTCATTTGTTTTTAATTGTGGAACTATCAATTTTCCAAAATTAACTCATTCCTGACTCTCTGCTACATAATGCTATGAGTAGAACTATATTTTTGGTTACCCAAAAAGAAAGAAATTTTATTATAGCTTAGGATTTTGTTAGTTTACCTCCACAATATTAGGCGCATAAACAAGGAGGAATCTCTCCCCCATCGTAAATTTGTCTGTCTTCGTAAATATCATTTTAGGCGAATAAAAATTCCCCCCTTACATAGCCCTCCCCCCTGCCCCATAAATGCATGCAATATATCACTATGAAGAATGTGAAAGAAAAATTAGTAAAAGTTAAAAACTTTTAGACAAAAAAAAAATTGATTCTGTATTTTCTTTCTAAATCTCCAGATAATGTTAGTCAAAAGCTTCATTTTTATATCCGTAAATAAACTGAACTAAACTGAGCTCCGAAGAAAGGAATCAAATAGTTTCCCATAGAGCTGATTTTTTTTTCGAACGCCTCTCAAGTTTTAGTCGAATTCTGTTATTAAAATTATTATACACAATGTTTACATTTATTAAAAAGTGACATGTTCAAGTTAGTATTGCAAAAAGCAAACCAGATAGCGTTTTTTTAAAAAAAGTTTCTCCAAGCGGTATTGACCAATTTACACGATACCAAATGAAATATTTACGTTTTTCAAACGCTCACCATGGTGCGCACTATTATTCATCAAATATTACACCGCAATACCCGCCCCCCCCCCCAGATCTAGTGGAATACCTTTTTCAGTGAAACAAATTCAGTTTTAACTATAAAAAGTTCTTGCTTATCATGCAAAGATTTTTAAAAGCAAATTTTTATTAAAGATAATTATATTATTTATGCATTTTAAAACGTATTTCTTTAAATAAAATTTTTTTTTGATAAGAATAGAGCGGACGCGTTTACGAATTTGAACGCGTTCCTTTTTTTTTGCAAATGAATTTCGAATGGGGTGAATTTTTTATTTTTTAATGTTTATAGATATAAAAAATTCTGCCACGCTCATATACATAATAAGAATATTAAAAAATTATGCAATATTCCAAACTCTACACAATTTTTTGCATAAATTGTTTATTTATTCCTTTAAAAAAATAGCATGAAAAAAATGAGATGAATATTTTTTTGAAATTAAAACCATCAGGTATTACTATATAAATAATAAAATTTAAGTGGGACACGCGACGTTTTTTTTTACAAAAGGCAGGTGTGTGTCATATTATAAATTTATATGTGTATAAAGTTTTTAAATATATTATTTTGATTTGAAGGGGGCCGACCCGTGAGAAACTGAATTTTTTATTTTTATTTTCTCACCTGAATGTTAAGGAGATATAATATTAAATATTAATAACACTATTAAATAATGAATTTGAGTAAAAATTAATAAAAATATAAACTTTATCTATTAAATGCATAAAAACATAAGGTCTCTTTTTCATCTTCATTTATAAAAATAATTATAAAAATACATAGATATAATAAAAAATTTAATATTATACATAAATGATGTATTGTTGTAATGAAAAATATATAATTAATAACTTCAATAACTAAGTAACGTGTGTGTGTTTGTAAAAAAAAATTTACCACTAAAAAAAAGAGAAAAAAAAGTAAATAATTATTAATAAATATGTATAGTAAAAGTAAGGTAAGTTAAGTGCGTGGGTAAAAATATTTTCCCACATTAAATAAAAAGATAAAATAAATATTATCAATAAATAAAAAATAATCTAACATTTGTTCTGTCGTCGGGGAGAAGGTGTCCCCCTCTTATATCATGTTATTATTACAATTTTACTTTCTCACAGTGTATTTTTTTTTAAAAAACATTTGGTGGCTCGTGGTCATGCGATTTTTGAAAGATAAAAATTGATAGATTAATAATAAAAAAAATATTATTTATTATTTATTTCATTTTTATAAAAAAATAAGTATATATATAGGTAAGAGGAAAGGTGAAATTAAAAAATAAAAATTTTAATATTTTTTTACCAATATTTTTAAAATAAATAAAATTGTAAATTAATCTTTCATTCAAAGATAATTCTTTGTTAAAAATGATGATAGTTAATCGACATTCGGAAATATCTACTTTGCCCGCTATCGAAAGGAGAAAGGTTAAAAAGATTTATTAAAAAATATTATATTATATAAAATATCTTAAAAATTAAAATCACTTATATTTTATTTAAATTGATTGATTTTAAATTATTTTTTTTAATATATAGATTATGAAACCGATTTTGGAGAAAAAAAGACGAGATAGGATCAATAAAAGTTTAACAGAGCTCAAGTCTCTCATACTCGCTTTGACAAACAAAGAAGTAACAAATTTAATAGAATCAATTTTTCTAATTTTTTGGTTTCATTTAATCAAAAATAAAGGAGTTATTTTAAATCATAAAAATAATTAAAAAACTTATTTTTCATTATAAAGGAATCATATGGCGCCAAAATGGAAAAAGCAGACATCTTAGAGATGACCGCTGATTACCTCAAATCCTTAAATTTGCACAGCTCTGGAATAAACACTTTACTAGGTTCACCTATGTACGGCCAATTCAATAGTGATTCTTCGCCCTCTCCCCGCTTGCTCTTGAACGACGATGCTTATTCCTCCACTAACAGTGGATCGGGTTCTCCGACTCACCAATACAATATGATGGGCTGCGGAATTTACTCGGTTGAAGACCATATCCCCCAAGCTTTACCCGACGTTCGTTCTTTCTCACCCTCGCCTTACTCCTTCGTAGACGAAGAAGACTTGACTGTCATGGACTCATCCTACCCATCTGCGAACCGCGGGTCCGAGGAAGAAGCCGAAGCAGCGGCCGCGACCTCGCTTCTTCTTTTACCCTATCGACGCGAACCATCATATAAAAGAGACTGCCGAAAACGCGATTCTGCTTACAGACACGGCAAGGGAACGAATAAAATTATCCTCGATAGGAGCTTGTGGAGGCCTTGGTGATATTGTTACCCTTCCAGATTTTTTATTTCAGTTATTTGAAGATGTTCGATTATCCCAGGAAGTGAGAAGCTAGACCTACGAATTTCGAAAGATCGATATCCCGATGAATATAAATGACAACCACGAGAACCAGTGGCCGATCGGGATAGTCCTAAAAAAATTCTTTGCCTGTGATACCTAAATAAATTCCCTTTTAGCAGATTGATCATTATATTCATACTAATTTATATATATTATATAAACGAAATTGTTGCCGCTGATAATTTTATCATTATGTTATAGTTGTTATGTTTTATATAATCAATTGTTTTTAATTTATTTATTTACGGAAAGAACAGATCATTGAATAAAGAATATTTAAATATTTTAAATTAATAATATAGACTAGAGATTCTGCAGCGGGCGGGGTTTTTGCCCGCGCACAGGTAAATTTTTTAAAGAATGGGCGGATTAAAAAATTTAAATAATTGGCGGGCCGGTTACAAATTTTTTAACTTTTATTTGTTATCTAATATTATTTAAGTAATTATTTTTTAAAAAATGCACTATAAAATTTCAACATATTTAATGCCAAAGTTCCAACAACTGAGGATTTTGTCATCAGAAGAAATTAATAAAGTAAAAAAAATAAAATATGTTGAATTTGATTTGCATGGAAGAATATAAAATCGATTAGAATTTATCCGTTTCCCCCAATGTAAAGAGAATTCAAAAAAAGATATAAAATTATAAATGCAAAGTTTGAAACAGATAACAACCACGTCAAAATTAAACTACTACATATAATAAAATGAGATTTTTACAGATCTGCGGCCGGTGTGAATTTCAAAAATCGAAATAGGTGGGGGTGAGTAAATTGGGCACACAGTAATATGTATTTTTAAAATACTAATTAATTTTTTTTTTTAAATTAAAATATACACTATGCTACAAATTTCTTGGCATATTTTTAGATCTTTATCGAAGAGAAAATTCATAAATTCAAATTCGATTTTGTAATTTTCTAATCATCATGTATAAAAATAATTTTATTTAAATTTTCCGGTCATAATAATGATCTCCTTGAATTTAACGTCAACCCAGCATAGAGAAAACTTTTTCACATTTTGCCAGAATTCAAATTTTTTTTAGCTAGCGTGGACGTGGAAAGATAAGGAATCGATCTTCTTTTCTCTATAGAAATTTAGAACAATCATATCTCGGTGTTTTCCGAGAATATGGCATTCTTGTTATTTTTGAAATAAAAAATTAATTAAATAAATGAACATACTTATTTATTATTACTTGCATATCACACACAGGAAATCGTAATGCAAGTTTTTTAGTATATTTTTCTATAGGGAAATAATTTCTGAGCTATTCTTATAATTTACTAGAAATTTGTTTAAAAAGTGATACGCAAAGGTAAACTTTGTGCAGATAGAAATTCAACTGTTTCTTTAAATTTTAAAAGAAAAGCTAATAGTTCGTTTACTAGCTCTGATTCTTAGTTATAGCGTTTCTCAAAACGTTATTAGCTATATTTTTATTTTCTCCAGATATCCTTCCAAGCATAATTAATATATTATGCCAAGGTTGGGACATTTAATTTTAATGTTTTCATATGTGTGATAATAATATTATGATCATTACTAAAATCGCCAATTTGAAATGTATCTGCCTCGAACTCAAATTCAATCTATGCTGTTTTATATAGAGCTGTAATAATTTCTCTTATTCTTTTGATAACATTTTCAACAAAAGGTGTTTACATCTAATCAAATACACTTTCTAACATTGGGTATCCATTTTAAAAATATGTAAAATTATGGTAGCTTTTGGAATTTTAGGTTTTTTATTGATTGAAATCTAAAATGATATCAAAATAATTATGATGTTAAAATAGGTATAAAATAAGAATTCATCCTGAATGACATTACAACAGTGATATTGAACAGTTATTAGAATAAAGATGCATATATGGAAATTTTTAAAAAATTGTCGCAGCGTGATTTTCATCAGGTCTAACCAGGGTTGTGATCTCCAGGTTTACATAATATTTTTTTTATATATGAATTGATACAGGCTGTTACGCAAAAATTTGCTTTGGGGGAAGGGGGTGGGGCAGGGTTGCCAGATGTCACGATTTAGCCGTGATTCTCACGATTTCATACCTAATTTTTTACTTACCCACGTTTTCTCACACTTCACGCTTTTTTCACGTTTTTTGAGTATATTAAAATAATCACACTTAGTCTCACACTTTTTTTCACGTTTTTAAATTTTTTTCAAATTTTTTAAAAATATTTTTAAAAACAAATATAAAATTTTATTAATTTTATTTTAAAATATTTAAAAAAATTGTAGTATTTGATAGTCCAACTAACCAATTATATTCATTGATCAATTACCCACAACACAAATTCAATTTTTAGAAAGTTATCAAGTATAATTATAATATGAATTTAAATAACTATACATTTCTTTTATGGATTTTATAAATCTTATATTAAAACTCGTAAAATTTTAATAAATTAATTGTACATATACTCACAAATTATAATTAGTTTAATTTAACTTAGATATTGCTAAATTAATAATCAAATTAAGAAATATCTAAATACATTAATTGCTAGAGTTGATTAATTAGATTCAGGATCATTTTTATAAAATAATTAAGTAAAATTAATTTATAATAAAGGTGATATATATACATTAGATCAGATTATAATTTTTTAAAAACGCTAATTTATAATTTGATTCATTCTGTATCTTCTTAAAACCTCATTTTATCTAAAAATTTATTGTAATATCTATTTCTTGAACTCAAATTTGAAATATTTCAGGAGGCTCATCCTCAAGTAATAATTCTCAAGATAAAAAATTGAAATATAAACAAACAAAAAAGAGTAAAATATAAGGTAAGTTTTAATAAAAGTTGTATATGAATGGTTAATGCATCATTCAGGGTCGACTGTAAAATGTGGTATATGTGCATCATGCTTTTCAATAAGTCATAGTAGAGAGTATGATATAATCAAACATATGAAATCTAACAAACATAAGCTGGCAAATGAACAATCTAGAATCAATACATATCATCTTACGTAAGGAAATATTTTATGAATGAAACCTTCTTATCTGTTATTTAGAAACAACATTCATATATCATTCCATAAAACATTCCTATAGCTATATGTCGGCTGATTGTTCAAGCAAGCTATTTTACTCACTTTTTCCTGACTCTAAAATTGCATCAATATTTTCATGTGGCAGAACAAAAGGCTCTAAAATAATACAAAATATTTTGGCACCAGAAACAAAGGCAAATATTATAAAAGATCTAAAAAAAACAATCATCCGATATCATTACTAACAGATGAAAAGAATAAAGTTAATATAAAAACATTTCCCTTATTACTCAGATACTTCAACAAAAAGAATGAAATAAATGTTTAATTACTTAAAATTTTTTCACCTGACAGTGAAACCCCTAAAGACATATCTAGATGCTTGCTAGAAAATTTAAAATTTGCTGAACTTGATATTGCTAATGTAACGGCCTATTGTGCAGATAACGCATTTGTATTTGGGAAAAATTAATGGACTAAATTGAAAAGCCATAATAATAATATTATACCAATGGGTTGTATATGCCACATTCCTCACAACTCGTTTAAAAAGGCCATAATTTTTCTCAAATATGATATTGAGAGTATAGTAATTAAATATAATGAATTTAGAAACTCGACAAAAAGATTTACAATTTTAAAAGAATTGGTAGAATGGTGCAATTTAGAATGGTCAGAATTACTTCACCATGTTCCAACACGCTGGCTTACATTAATCCCAGCGATCAAGCGGATGCTTAAGTATTTTCAACCCCTTAAAGAATATTTTTTATCATTATCAGCAACCCCACCAATTTTGAAAATAATTTTTGAAGATGATTTTGCAGAGGCATATTTAGGTGTTGTCCTTAACGTTGGCACTTTAGTCAATAACAAATTTACAATTGCAATCTGAAGATGTATTAGCAATATATATACATGATCTTATCCTAAAACTAAAGAATTCATTAAATTTAAAAATTCAACAAAATTTTTATGGGAGCATTTCTAAAACTATTTTACAATATAATAATGATGTAGAAAAGGCAATAAATTTCAAAAATGAATCAAAGATATTTATAAAAAATATTATAGAATATGTAGAAATAGGTTATGATATTATAGATAATATATGGAAATATCTTAGCCTTATGACATTAAAAAAAAGTCCAGAATTTGAACAATTACAAAAAATTATTAGTAATTATAAAATACCAAACATAGATACAGAAATTCTCTTTGAGGAATATTCACAATTTTATTCCTATTATGAATAAAAATTATCAAAAAACAGTCACATGAATACCCAAGAAAATGGATTTTCTTTCTAAAAAAACTCACCAATGATAGAGAAAATATGCAATTTTATATCTCTTCCGCATTCAAATGCTTCATCAGAGAGAATATTCAGTCTAGTGACTGCTGCTTGGCGAAAAGAACGTCATCATTGGAAGCTGAACTTATGGTTAAACAAAATATAACTATTCATGCAAAGAGTTTTCAGACTATCTCCACAGTGCTGATGGGAAATTTTTATTGCCTCTTTTAAAATCATCCATAAAATATAATAATTGCACGGTATGACTAAATACTGCATTGCTAAAATGCATTGCTAAAAAACAATTAATCATAATCAATCAAATTTTGATTATATAATATTTTTTTTAAAATAATTTTCATAAACATTTTTTTTTAATGTACATAAATCAATTTTTTATCAAGTAAAAAATTGAGATTAAATATCAAATAATTTATAATTCTATTTTTACGTAATATTATTGGAAAAAAAATATATTTAGAAGCTTATTACAACTTAAATTTTATTTTTCAATTGCAAAATTTAACAAATATATATCCATAAGAGGGCGTTAAATGCATAAATATGAAAATATATTCTTAGCAAACCAGAAT